AAATAATTGAACCTACAACCCACGTAAACAAATCATGCAAAATGGAAAATAACTAACAACAATGAAATGGACATAAACTGCCATGACCCAGCTCCATGCATGCACGTTCTTCATGTGCTTAACATCGTGGCCTATTAATGGTACAGTTGTTAGCTGAAAATCACAACTTCAAAAAGTTGTTGCTATATCTTCAACAGAAGCAGAATATATTGCTGCTACTGATGTTGTAAAAGAGGGAATGTGGTTAAATGGTTTATTGTCTGAACTTGGTTTTGCTGATAATCACACTATGTTGCTATCAGATAATCAAAATTTTATTCATTTGAGTAAAAATCCTATGTTTCATGATCAAACAAAGAATATTGATGTTAAATATCATTTTATAAGAGACATCACTTCAAAAGGAAGTCTTAGATTGGAAAAGTTTCAACTCAACTTAATCCGTCGGATATGGGTACAAAAGTAATCCCTTTGAATAAGTTTGTAAACTGTTTGAAACTTTTATCCGATGATTCTTTATAATACATGTACATGTATTTTGAGCAAATTAAAATTGATTGACATTGTGCTCTGGCCTATACTATATCCCAAATTCTGGTAGCAAGGTGGAGAATGTGGGATTCGAACCCTGTTCGAATGGTGCTCCTATAATTTGTGAAATCATGTTTTCCGGGTGTTGTAACTTTATTAAATTGCACTTTTAAACAAATTTCGACATGTGGTTTGTTTTGCACCGTTGGATCAGCTTCTGAAAACTTCTATTCTTTAATGTGATTTCATTTGGCATTTTCTTCTATTAGGGATTTGATTCTCTCTCTCTAGGTTACGATGTTTTGAAGGAACACTTTGGTTTTGGTTCTCTCTTATTTGCTTTCTCAAATTACTGATTTGAGATTGTTGATCTATAATAGTTAATCTCTGTGTTGTGATATTTTGAGTGAATATTCATGAGAAAGTCTATGTTCTTTCATGTTGCTGTTTCCGAGGTTTTGAAGAGATTCTTTGTAAATCTTGCGGATCAACTGTTGTATATAGAGAGATAAGTGTTCTTTTTTGTACTCAGTGATTTGGCCGAACATTTTGTTACCTTTGTTACCATTTTGGGCTATGTAGTGGAACCGAGCACAAATTCAATATATTGGATACTTAACGGGAGATGTAGGCGTTAAAAGTGATCGTCTAACCTCTGGGGCTTAGGCCAAAAGAAATCGTTTGTGTTTTCTTTAATTTCTGCACTTCATTTTCTGAGAAGATCATTGTATTTCTGTTTCTCGATTTAATATCGTGTGTTCTTGGCATCACATCTACTTTAAGCTCTATTTCTCTATTCTTCAAGGAAGTGTGAATAATATGGACATTCAAAATCCTCTCTCTCATATTCTAAAGCATTTTTTAAATATTTTTATGCTTTTCACATATGGTATTTAGTAATCCAACTACCCGTTGATCACTAGAAATATTTTCTTCACAATTTGTCAAGTCTCGTTATATCTCGTTTAATCTATTCGTGTTATGCACTTGGATCAAGCTTGAAATTTTTGTGTTTGAATAAGTGGCTTCTGAATGGCATGATTTGGATTAATCTGGCACTAAAATAATTAAAAGATAATTCACCAAATGCAATTTTAGTTTTGGCATAGTGCTTATACGTCATATTTATT